GGGGGGGTCTTAAATGTGGCTGATACCCCGCCATCGTCAGGCGGAGGTTTTCAATGACCTGCCCCCCTTTCCAACTCTTAGCTGTCATCAGATCAGCTTTCTCTGCCATAGTTTCTTTTCATGGACTCAAGAGTCGGGACGCCCAAGCCCCCAGCCACCTGGCTAGTAATGGAATCAGAAAACCAAGGCCTCAGCCCCCTTTCAAGTAATGGACCCAGAAGTTCTGCCTCCTAGAGCATAGGCTCCCATTCCCCTTCTCCCTCAGACTCCGGGATTCGGCTGTTAAGTACTCTTCTCTCCCCCAGTACTCAAGAATCTCGAGCCCCAGCCTTTCTTCCGCTGGTCTGAGGAGACCAGGCCCTCCAGCCTCTCTTCCATCAAGCATAGGAGGCCCCATCCTCATACTTCCCAGTGCCGTCCTACCCTAGATTGCAGGAATCCAGTCTCTCGGCCCCCAGAAATGACTTTCAAACCTTGACCCTTGCTCCCAGAGCCCCCAGACCTGACTCCAGAGGAAAGGATGGAGCTGGAGAACATCCGGCGGCGGAAGCAGGAGCTGCTGGTGGAAATTCAGCGCCTGCGGGAGGAACTCAGCGAAGCCATGAGTGAGGTGGAGGGTCTGGAGGCCAATGAGGGCAGGTGAGGACTAGAGCTCAGAATTTGGAGGGAATGAGGCCAGCTGGGACCTGGGATACCCAGGCATTAACCTTCTGCCCTTATCCTCACCTTGCTTTCTGCTCCTGCAGTAAGACCTTGCAGCGGAACCGAAAGATGGCAATGGGCAGAAAGAAGTTCAACATGGATCCCAAGAAGGTGCTCAGGGCCACAGGACTGGGATTTAATTGGGCAGCTATCCAGGCAGGGAGTTCTAGAACCTCCAAGTTCCAAAAGTTTGACAGTTACAGGTCTGTTCTAGGTGAACAGACTTTGTCCTAATCCCTGGATTCAGATACTGACTGTCCATTTGTTCTATGAACATTAACCAAGTGTTCCAGCCTCCTTGTATCTTCTTGCCTGGAAGGTCTTCCCTTTTCTACTTGTATTTTTGGATACACTTCTGGTCCCAAGAGGAGCTTGAGTCTGGTAGAGGTTATGGACAAATTGACATGC